AATAATAATAATAATAATTGATGAGTCTAGAATAAAACAGCAGTATCTATATATCTGTGGAGATTCACAGTTATCCAGATGAGGTTATCTGGAAGATGAGTCATGGCAACTGGACTTCTTTCCTATTAGGTTGAAACATTTACAGTTGAAAGCTTTACTGATCATAGGACATGTAATCTGACACATCTGGAGGGCACCAGATTAGGTATTATCATTTGGCACATATTATGACCCTTGGAATCTCTATGATGCAAATTTGATCTATATACTTTATGTTGGAAGTTGAAGTGGAAAATCAATTCAATGTAAGAAGTGGAACGTGCAGCCTGCAATACAAAGGAATTACCCTAGTACTTTTGAACTGCAGCCATTATTTTAAGCTAGCTAAGGCACAGACTCTTTAATATCTTATCACACCAGCAGATAGAAGTGTTGGTTCATGCTGAATGCTGTTTTTTGTATAGGCAAGAGTACCACGAACCACAGCCATCATCAGAAATTTAGGCGCCATCTCCCTCACGCCCTGGCCTGAGGCATGGGTGTAAGAAACAGAGCAGACTCATAAACCTGGAGGAAATGTCTGCTTTTTAGGAAAAAAAGAAAAGTCAACGGGACCAGGAGGCATTGCCTTTAATTTTCCTAACACCAATAGAAAGCCCCAGTTACCCCATCCTAGTGTCAGAGCCCTGCCCCGACCACGGGACAGTTGTCCATCATAACCCTGAGGGTAAATCCAGTAGTCTATCCGGAAAGAAACGGTGGGGGCAAGAGCTCAAGTTGTACAGTATTTCATACGGAGTGTGTTAACAAGTTTCCGTGGCTCCAGTTGTTTAAAAAGCCGTCCTCTCCACGCCAGTGTAATCCATCATCTTGCTATAAAAAGTTGGAGGGAGGCTGCGACGAAGAAAGAGCTCTTACCACCCTTCAATTCCCTCAGCTAACAACACTGTCATGCACCCGAAGGCCAACAAGGTAAAGGTTGCGTTGTAACAGCGTTATAGTCCTCCGCCCTCGCCCATGAGGGAGAGCAGGCGAAGGCCCAGCCCTGCGGTCTTTCGACGGCCGCAACCAAGGAGGGCTCCGGGCAGCTGGAGCCACGGAAACTGTCCTCCTAACCAGTCCCTGCTGGCGGGGAAGCAGTTCGGAGAATTAATAGGGGGAGGAAGGGAAACTTTCTGGACCAGGACGTAGCACGGACAGAGAAAAATAGCACCACTCCTCGAACCTCCCCTTCGCGGCGGCAACTGGCGCCCCCTTCCTTCTCCGCCGCCTAAAAAGAGCGGATGAACAAGGAGGAACGCACAGCCTCGCTCGCCTCAGGGCCACTTCGACCATGGAGATGGCAAAGGACAGAGCGGCACCTTCGTTTGGTCGAATAAAACCAACACATGAAATGCTGCGGACTTCCGGTACACGGCCCTTTTCACCATCGAGATCCTTACCGGAAGTTCAGGCTGGGTGTCGCGCTCTCTAGCTTCCTTCCTACTTCACTTCGGGTAACTTTCTCTCCGTCGCATCTCGTACGCCTCCGCGGAGGGCGCGGGAGAGGATGGAGGGACGCTCGCGGAGGAAGCATTGAGAGAGAGCAGGTACGCCTGCCGGAAGGAGAACGCGTATGTGTGCGCATGCGCGCGTAAGGTGGTGTTAAGAAAAGCGCTGGGTGCTGTGGTCCCTTTTCACAGGCAGTACGCAAGTCTGATATGATGTCTTAATTTATCTATCGTTTCAACAGGCTTTCTTTACCCCTCGCAATGGCCCTCAACAAATCCATGCATGTAAGAAACAGATACAAGGACAAGCCGCCTGACTTCGCCTATTTGGCGTCCAAGTACCCAGAGTTTAAACAACACGTGCAGATAAACTTGTCGGGAAGAGTCAGGTAGGTTAGCATCCATATGTGTACAGAATAATACGGTAAGAAAGATGCTTTGCCAAATAACGAACAACCACGTGCTTGGCCCGAGCAGTTTGCAGTCTAAAATATAGCGCATTCTGGTGGCTACTGCGAAAGTGTGTGTTTGGATCAATTGCAGATACTTAAGACTACTTCCAATAAAGATAAACGAAAATTGCTAAATTGTACCTTTTATATACAGTAACTGTCTTTTAAGCAACTGGAAGAGGGACAAGAACCTTGCTAGAAAAGTGGTTCTTATCATGGGCCCCCCAGTTGCTTTGTGGGAATTTCAGCTCCCAGAAACCTGAGGTACCATGAGCAGTGACCAGGGATTCAAGCACTTGGACATTCACAGATTTGAGTATGCTGAAACAAGAAGGTGCAAGCTAGCATAAAAAGAGTTGGATTGAGATGAGTTACTGCCTCTTATGTTTTATCTGTAGGCTGCCTGTGTGGTCTGCATTAGGAGTGGGTCTAGATCCTTACATCTTAGAAGGGAGGTATCCCTAAAGAGCCAAGAGCCACAGAGACAGCAAGTGTTAATGATCCACAGTTGACAAGGTTTTTGCTTGTGTGCTTCGGAAAATGTGCTACCAACTTGGTGATCTTTCATTCTCTGTCCCATGGCTACTGTGTCTCATTTCTGGCATCTCTGCTGCCAGAAATGCCACACACCTGAGGGTGCCTGTGTTCTAGGAAGGACTGATGTAGAGAAAATATTGAGTCCTGCCAAACTGAGTGGAACATAA